CGAACCAGGCGCTCATGGCCCCTCCCGTCTCAACCTGAAGCTCCTCTATCCAATTCCCTCCATACAACACCAATCAGCGCATCTGTTGCCCGTTTTCGGCTTCAACCTGAAGGGATGGTCGAAAAATACAACGTCCCGTCCACGTCACCTGGCAAACCGCAAGTTCGGGAAACGCACCGCTAGAGAGTCCCTGCGCACCCGTCAAAGCCACAGCTCCTATCTTGGCTATTCCTGCGTTCCTCTACATCTCTGCCGAGCTCAACCACCACTACTGTCACGGTCAAACTGGCTTGGTTCTGCACAAATTGCTTTATTATGCACCACGCATACAGACTCTGCCTTTGCGCCCAGCACATACACAGCAATGTCGCCTCGGCCACCAGCTGGACTGTTCTCTTCATAGCGAAGCCAAGGAGTGGACGGCCCCCCCCAGCTCCCCCATCCCCCACCATTATGCCGGCATTTCTACCTCTACCCACAGATTCTCAGGCGTCCAGTGCCGTTCCCGGGCACACGGCATCGAGGGCCAAAGTCGCTCAGCGACGGCCATTCCGCATCCGTGGATCAACTTAGATCTGGTTGTGGCCATCCCGTCACCGTCCCATCAACCACTCAGTGACATTCATGTTTTGGAATGTTTCCAATTCGACGTGACTTTAGCCGACGGCGGCTGGCGGGCGAGATTTCCGCCAAAATACCTCCGGGCTACAACAGCATCGGTTGGCCGGGCTTCTTCTCCCTTTTGCCTCACCGCATCCAGGCCCGATTTCGCAAACGAAACTCTTGTTAAACCAAAAACTACTCGCTAGGTGGCGCTTGTGGTTTCCGCCATTCGTCACTTGTCTCGGTTCGCTAAAGCTAGTCACGGGCTTGCTCAGAGCTCTGCTGATGGGCAAACTCGGCCAAAACCACCGGCAGGGCACTTGCATACTGCCCGGCTGTCTGCTGCCACGCTGCATAGCTCGAGGTTGTCGGCACCTCTCTAACCATACGCATCGAATCGTGAGAAATTCATGACTGGCCTGGGGATCACACGGAATGGACGAATGCACATTGTCATCACTGATCGTCACTCTGTTGTTCCGCCATCCGCCCACATCACTGCTTACCTCAGTTTGGTACCATCACCCCAGCTGCATAACCGCCCTTTGGGAACCAAATATACTTTTTGCTTTTTGTTCAACAAGCGCCCGGCGAACCAGACGAGAAAGCAAGTCCATTAGACCCAGACTGCTAACCAGCCATCCGACCCAACCCAGCCGCTGCGCTGTGCTCGTTACCCCTGTGCCGCCGACTGTGCCGCCGACTATACGGAGTACCAGGCTACCAGCAAGTGACTTGTCTCTTTCATGTCTCTCGCTCTGCTGAGGTCGCCGACCCCCAACACCATAGAGTATTATAGGTAGCAAACGCCCCCTACTGTCTACCCCCCTCGGCTCACCAGTCTCGACCGCTAAACTCTCTCGTACTCTGCCACACACCACCGACGCCCACGAGCCGTCAGACAAAGTCAAGCTCGACGTATGCTGGCTCGCTCGACAGACGCCCTCACCGCTCTCCACGCCCCCAATCACACGATCGACGCACAAACACACAGACACCACCACACCGCACCGGATGCCTATTCCCTTGGCCGCCTGTTTATTGGCTAAGCTGACATCCGCCCAAAAGCCTCAAATCACGACGCTAATAGCCTGTCTTGCTTTTTTGAGCGCCTCCGACTCCCGTCTCCCCTATTCGCGTTCAAATGTCTCGCCTGCGTCCGTCCCTTTTTAAGCTTCTGTCGCCCTTTCCTGAGCGGCAATCCGATACCAGGCGGAGGACGGACCTCATATTCCACAGACCCTGCTCATTGAAGGCTGAAGGCTTACCAAAATAGGACTTACGTACCATCACCTTTTCCCTATAACCATCAACCCACCCACTCCCACAACCTCTGGCCATTTTACGAGAAGAAGGAATTTTGTATCTCCCAGCCAATTCAATATTCATCTTCCATCCTGGTCCATACACGACCGGAAACTTCCCTCGCAAGACCGTGATTTGGGTAACCGCCGTAACCAAAGTTATAACTGTTTTCGGTCATCGAGCCAAACAAAGCACCACGGAAACAAAGTCTCGCGCACTGGTATACGAATACCCGACTTTCAAGAAGGCTAGCCGATCACAGGGGGGATCTGCGGACATCGAAGCGGGCATTGCACATTGCAGGGAAGCTGAATGACGGGTCAAAACACGAGCACATCGAGAAATCCGCAGTTGGGCAAGGACAAAAATCGAGGGGCATACAAGCAGATTCGCAGCTTCATCGCCGACTTTCCAAACGCCAACATCAAACACGAGGGTCGTCTAAGTGGTCACGATCATATCATCATGAGGAATCCGAAGCCTCCCACGTAGAACAAATCATCCTGCCGACTCCAAGATTACGTCCGGTGTCCAGGAAACCACAGCCGTCATGGCACCGTGGCCCCGCGCACTGGACAACATTGGTGCATCACAATCGCCAGCTGCGTCGCCGCCCGAAATTATCAGCAGCCGTATAGATACGGCTTATACCCGCATTCCCGATGGGTTGACCGATCACCAGTGGACGATTATTCAATCCACATCACTTGCTGCCGCTGCATTGAGTTTTGCGTCTGTGACTTTCGCCTTCTACTGGTTTTCTCGGAGGAGGCGAAGCTTTAGACATGAGTGAGTAACGGTCACTCGGGGGTGCATTGCCTTCGCTGGAGAAGGCTATTCGCACCAAGACGGAAAACGGGCATTTTACTAACAACTTGACAGTCTCATTATGCTGCTCATGTCGAGCGACATGCTGAAATCGCTATGGTTCATCATATTCCCAATTGTCGACTTCAAGAGCGGTCCAGTTGCCTCGAGCTCATCATTCTGCCAAGCCAGCGGCTTCTTTCTCGCAGTCGGCATAGAGGCATCGGATATTGCTGTTGTGCTCATCGCTTTGCACACAGCCATTTATATCTTCCGACCGCGGCATTCCGGGCGACAGAGTGGATTGTATCCCCACCGTCGTCTTGCCTTTAGCGCTTTTGCATTCTTCCCACTTTTGATGGCTTCATTAGCATTTATCAACTGGCCCGGCTACGTCAATAACGGGGAGTATTGTTACCTACCCGCCCGCCCTGAATGGACAAGACTCGCCCTGAGCTGGGTTCCCCGCTACATGATTTTGCTCACTATTGTTGCGCTTTACGCCTACATCTATATCTACGTCACTCTTCGCATGAGGCGTTTCGGTCGCCTCAGTGCCATGCGGCGTGCGAGCGCAACGCACATGTTAGACGATGGGCAGTGGGCTCATATCCCTTCGGTGCCAGCCACCCCAACATCACGACGCGGGTCGGAAACCTCGATGGAAGACTCGGATCGGCAACATACCTCTTCCACAAATACTACCATGACAGCCGAGATTGAGCTTCTCCACAGCCGGCAGAAGATTCAATGGAACTGGCCGAGCTATGGAAACGAAGACGATGGCCGCATCCCGGAACCCAATGACAATGTCTCCCCGCATGCATTCGAGGCTAGCACAAGTCCACTCTCTACCAACTTTGAACCGATTTCTCCTCCTCCGCAAAGTTACATACGCCGCGATACGGTTGACTTGAACCCGCCCCAGGCACATTACAATCACGGGAGCTTCAGTACTCAGTGGCAACCACCCAGCAGCCCTACAAGCGCTCGGGCCAAGTCGCTCGCCAACATCTGGTCAATCCTTCGTCGAGGCACCTCCCTCGACTCTGACATAGACCACAACAATACTCCCTTTCTTTACCATCCTACCATTGACGGTACAGGAATGGCAAAGACCCGCGACAAGATTCGTCGCCAACTGCGACTGCTTTTTGTTTACCCACTTGTATACATACTCATCTGGGCTGTTCCTTTTGTCGCCCACGTCATGCGCTGGGACAACCCAGAGCAAGCTGGCCCGTTCGTGGTTGTGCTTTTATCGCTAGTGAGCCTGTCAATACAGGGTCTCGTTAACGCATGTCTGTTTTGCGCCGTAGAGAAGCCGTGGATTGACACGCAAGCCAGACATCGAAGGACGCCGTCAAAGTTACGGCGGGATAAAGACGAAGCTCGGCAACGGGCAGGAAGGAGAACATCATTAGCGTAGTCATTTTCGCCTTGATACCACATGAATTGAATGAACAAATATTACTACCACATCACATCAATAGTCACTCGTTTTCCATCATACTCTGGGCATTCAATGCTGTGCTCGGCGGTGAGAGGTTCATCTGTCGGCAGCATCCGGGATGCGGACCCACATCCTCCGGCACAGGAGGCCTGCGTGCGCGGCAAGATCGGTCCTTCGGCCCCACTAGCGGCGTGGGAGCTAAGGGCCGAAGCGTGCAATGATGCCGACATGTTTGCGACAGTGGTGAGACGTCCACCAAGACTGCATATGTCGGCACAAGAAAATGCCAAGTTAGTATTAAAGTGTTCGATCTGAGGAACCGGCGAAGGATTGGAATAGGATTGTATACGAGAAGTCTATTTCGAAAAGCAGTCTATGTGTTATGTGCGTTGTGAGACGATGGCTGAAGCTATCCTCCATATCTCCTGAGCTTGTTGTTGAAGATTCTCCCTGATCGCCCCTTCAACTTCTCCATTTCCTCATGAAAAGCTCTCTGTGCCTCTATCAACGGCATCGAGCTGTCCTTTCCAAACGCACTCTTTGCCCATCCAGGGTGTGTAAGATTCCATCGCCTTGCCAGCATAGACCAATCTCTCTACGCCTCAAAAGCTCGGTGTCCCAGGATGTCCAAGTTTGGCCGGATATGTTTCTAGGATATGTAGCACGTTCTCGTAGTGCTGTGAACGATGTAAGTTGTAAGAATCAAAAATGTGTGTCGCAAAAATGAAAAGAAAACGAGATGCTGCTTGCACCATGTCGCGCCATGTTTCTTGAGGGCGAACCCAAGCTCTGACCTCGGTCCAAGTATGCGGGAATGGCAGGTTGTGGAGCTTCATTCCTCTTCCGACTCCTCAGAAAGCGAGCCCATCTGCTCCCGAATCGCCGACCTGCGACTCTCCAACTCCTCATCTTCGTCATCGGGGACAACGAAACCTTCAAGGTCTCCCTCATCTTCCTTATCAGAGTCGCTGTCGTCCTCATCTTCTTTGTCGCTATCATTTTCATCGTAGTCGGCCGAGACGTGGTGGATGACTCCGTTTCGCATCGTGACCTTGCCGAGGAGACTAGCTATATCCTGAACGCTAATCTTGGGCGCTCTGGTCGTGTCATCCTGAAGAGCAGCGTCAATAGAAAGAATTTTGTCAGCCTGCAACTGCAGCATGCGCTGCTCAATCGGCGTATCGACGATGAAGCGCACGAAATGGGTTTCTTTGATCTGGCCGATGCGAAAAACGCGGGCAAAAGCCTGTTGCTCCACGGCGTGGTTCCACCAGAGCTCAATGAGGATGACGCGGTTTGCCCATGTGAGGTTCAGACACTGGCCGCCTGCACGGAGCGACACAATGAGCACCTTGATCTTGTCGCCGTTCTGGAACTCGTCGACAGCCTTGTTGCGCTGCTCGGTGGTCTGGCTCCCGCTCAGGTAGGCAAAGTCGATTCCTTCTGCTTCGAGCATGCTGCCGACGATCTTCATGGCAACGTTGAACTGGCTGAAGACTAAAAGGGATCTGGTCAGGCATCTAGGAAACATAAGATAGTGAGATGTGAGAGAGTACATACTAATAATCTTGTCGTCTGAGGCTTCGGCCTGCCATCTCAAGACTGTCTCCTTCAATGCCGTTAACTTAGCACTGGAAGTAAGAGGCAGATGAGGATTTCTGTCTGCCACCTGCAGGAATCTGACTGCATGTTTATCATCCTTGTCATCCTCGGTATGCTGGAATCCGGTGCAGTCGAACCCCTTGGCGTACTCCTTATCATTGGGGGCCTTCGTGGCAGGCTCTGCATCTCCATCATCGTTGTCGTCGAACGGCGTGAGTGGTTTCGGAAGGCTGATAATCCTGCGACACTTGGGACAACTTCTGCTCTTTTATCAACCTGAGTTAGCAATGGAAAGAATTCTGGGAGTGTAGAATCTGCATACCTTTAATGCGAGGTGAGCCACTACGCAACTAGAGCAGAAGATGCAGCCGCACTTTGAATCATGTTAGCTATGCAGACTCTGCAGAAGAACATGTCGGTATATTCAAGTACTCACTCCTCCCTTGACAGGATTCACCGGGGGCTTTTTGCGACAAACGACGCATTGGGCTTTCTTCATCTCCATGACCTTTTCGAGGTACGTAAGTTGCTTAGACATGTCAAATGCCAGACCGAAATCGCTGCGGCCAAAAGGCCGGAGCCGGTCTTCCTCCGCCTCGACGTCCAAGGACGCTGTGTTCTCTGGCTCTGCTCTGGGAGGGAGAAACCTCTCCGGTACCAGGCCATCCTCATCCTCTTCTGCCTCGTCTTGGCTGTCGACTTCGTCGCTGTTGTCGGCTATCGTGACAATACCCTCGCCGGCCTTGGGCTGGGGATGACTTCTGCCAGCGACATTGCGGTGATCTGGCTCTATAGTCTGGCTATCATGAGCGTCGAGTAGCTCTTTGCTGTCATCTAAAATCTGCTGCTGGCTGCGCCGGTATGTTTCCTCAATGACTTCTCTGATGCGCTCGCTGGCAATATGGTGCCTCTGAGTCCAAGAGCCGATCTGGTTGTAGACGGTGCTACCGCCTTTGAGGTCCTTCAGTTGTTTCCGAGTTGCTTCCAAGTCATGCTGAGTAAAATACTCTGCCATCATTCCTTCGAGCAAGAAGGGGTGAATAGAAGCCTGGCGCAACCGAAGTAGCATGACGAGATAGCACCTCACCTGCTTCGAAGCCACCCCGGTCTCGATGTCGTGATTGATTTTCCGACGGAAGCATTCCTCCATCATTCTGGCCACTATCAACAACTGAATCGTGCCTGAGGAGAGATGGTTCACTCACCTGAATATGACCATTTCTTCCTTCGAGAGTGTGAGATACTGATGAGTGGGATTGGTAGTAGGCAGGTTCAGGATTGGTTGACCCATGAAGTAATCGCCTTGAGTTCTGGTGGATTGAATGAGCCTACAGTTATTGCAGTTTCATGATAGGGGTGCTACCTTCTGTACATAACCTCATGGATGAGTTTGTTATGCTTCACTCGGCTTTGAGTCTGATAGAAGTCAGTATCTCCTTATACTTCTTCAGCGGAAATACCTACCCCTGGGCGATACTCGCTCTCATAGTCGCTGAACTCCTCGATTCCGTCGCATCGAATGAACTTCAGGTAGGAGAAGAACTCTGTGAGATATGAGAAGTCTCTCCTATCATCTGACGACGTTATTTCAGACTCACCAGTCGCTGCATTGATGAGCGGTGTTCCGCTAACTGCCCAGCGGTGCTTTGCTTTGAGTTCGAAGCACGCGAATGCAGCTGCAAATTCCGGAAGTTAGCAAGTGAACTTGGACAATTAGTCGCCGGCTTCTTACAGTGAGTGAGGTGATTTTTGATCGCATGAGCTTCATCAAGCACCACGCGGTGCCACTCAATTTGATGCAAGACACCGGTGGATTCTTGCAGCCACTCCTGGTATTTCTCTGGGTCGACAATCTTCTTCAGCATTTCAAGCCTCTCCTTGGAATGAGGAATGCTGTCCCGGATTTGATGGTAGCTAGCGAACCTAAGAACAATCATCAGTTTACAAGGAGCACACACGTTTCTGCACCGTACTCACACCATGTTGAAGGAAGATAACTGCTCAATATCCATCTTGTTACCGATTTTGAAATGAATGATGTTCTTGGAGAACTTTTTGTCGCAGTGCTTCTTGACCTCGGACATCCATTGACTGATCATCTGTCCTGAAGGAACAACCACCAGTGTTGCCCCCTTCCCGTCTTCTTGGAGCATCTCCGACGCCTGGTTGCCCACAATGCAGGAAAGGGTCTCGATGGTCTTTCCTAAGCCCATGGGGTCAGCAAGAATGCCTCCTCTGGGCATTTTGGGCGTTGCCTTGAGCTCACAACCCATCATCCAAGCGCCAACAATGAGTTGATGGTGGTGCATCAGAGACTGCAGGCCTTTGACCTCCCAGAAGCCGTCTTTGGCGCGGACAGCGCGCGGTCCCCAAGCCTTGGTTGCTTCCAGAAGCTCTCTTTTCTGACGATCTAAAAACTTGGGCTCAAAGTACTCAGGTGCAGCTTCTCTCATCTTCTTCAGTTGGTCTGCTCTCGTGGTCGCGATGATGATTGGCGCAGCTGTCAAGTCACCTGCTTGCGCTCGTTCCTGGATCGCATCTGTTGGACGAAGCAACGCTTCGATCTGGCGCTCAATTCTTTTGTTCTCTCTCTCATCTCCAGCAATACTTGCATTGTTCGAAGTCCTCGCGCTTTTGGTAGCGCGTGAACTGCGTTGAGATGCTCCGGATCTCTTCTGTCCTTTCGCATCGCGGTTGCGGTCCTTCTCTTCTTGTCGAGCCCAGTACTCCGCCGCACTTTTGATGCGAGAGTTCGATTTCTTCTTCGATTTCTTCTCGTTGCCTTCAACTGATTCTTGATCCAGATTAGCGGGAGGAGATGGTACCGCCACTGGCGCGTTGTTGCTGATTTTGACTTCTCCTTGAACCTGGCTGAGCTGAGCGATGATCTGGCACATCTCTGAGAAGTCTTCCGTGCTCAGAGCACCTTTGAGTGCTTTCGACTGTAACTCTTCCTTCCTCTCCTCTAGTTGCTTGACGAAAGATCTGCTAGCGTGAAAAGCGGTGTTTTCACCGGTGAAAGCTTCTGCGTCGGGCTCTTGCTTGATACCCTTGTCTATGGAACTGTGATCAATGTTCTCGACTGGCTCTGTCTTGACCATTGACGATGGAGTAAGATCAATTTTCCATGGGCCTCTTGGCTTGGATCATTCCTCTCGCGCTTTTGATGATGCTTCACCCTGGTCGATGATCATCAGATCAAAGTCATCGTCAGACTCCTCAGACTTGATGAGTACATCGGTGTCATGAGATAGCTCAGCGTTCTGAACTCGCTCCTCTCTGGAAACAAAGAGATCGTCCATCTCGTTGTTGCCATGGTATGACGAAGTTGGAGCCTTACCACTGCCATGAACGTCGCGACGACTTTCCTCAATCATGTCCTCTATAGACTCATCGAAAATGTCGGGCTCTGCTTGTGGGGCACTTGCTAGGCGAACTCCGCCATTCGCCGGACCATCGTCGTCGTCGTCGTCGAAACAGAAAGGTGTTTCTGGCGCTTGGCGCCCTTTGTCTCTGTATTTACAGATTTGAAGCAGCTCATCATGAAGAGCTTCGAAGTACCGTAAGTGCAAGATGTAGGCGAAACTCGGAAATTTGAGGCTTAGAATAGTGACTGAGTAACGGCGGAGGAAAAGTAGCCGATGAACGATGAAGTAGAGCTGCTTGACGCTGAGAACTTGGAACTCTCGAAAGGCCTTACTGGGGGGACAGTAGCTACCCAAGACTCTAAGGTCAGCTAGGTAGGGTAGAGAAAAGGTGTGTGAGAGAAAAGGTGTGTGAGGGAAAGGGTGTGTGAGGGAAAGGATTTATGAGAGAGAAAGGATGTATGAGAGAAAGGTTATGTGGAGGAAAAGATGTATGCGAGAATTATAAATCGAGGGAGTAGGAAGGTGCTGTAAAAATCGTTCGACTAGGAAGGCGCGCCCGAGATGGCAACTGGTACGAACCGGCTCAAAGGTTTCTGAAATTTGGATGTGATTTGATGAAGACGTACTGAGAAAATTGTAATGAGTTGAAGAAATTGTGTCGGGGACTGCAAGATGAAAATAAGAAGCTCAAGATGTTGGAGGAAGAAGGATTGGTTCTCGAGGTTGGCAGTGACGGAGAGAAGTTGAAGAAGATAAGAGTCTTGAAAGGTGAGGTTGTAAAAGAGAAGGAAGAAGTCTACAATAGAGAGAGTAGATGAGGTAGGTATATGTGGATGGTATTTGAGGAAGGAAGTAAGGGAGGAAGGAAGGAAGAGCGCGTAGTCCGTAACTCTGAAGTACCAGCCATCCATCCCAGACGGAGGCAGTTGCGATGCTGGCTTCCTCTTGCGCCAAGGAACTGGAAGCGGTAGGAGCTCTAAGCACGTTCAAGAAGGATTGCGGGATGGTTGAGGTCAAAGACATGGCAACTTGGGGGAGCGAGATTGGTATCCAAAACAGTCGCTGATCTATTGAGGTAAAGAACTATAAACGCTGATGTATCATTCTCTAAGGAAACGCAGGAAACCGCGAGCGATATTGACACCATCATGCTCAATGTTTGCGCGATTGATGGCATCAGTAAACATTGCCTCGTCAAAGATGCCAGCCTTGTGGCGAACATTGAGGATCTCACTGACGATGGGGCCAGTGAACTCGGGGTGGCCCTGGACAGTGATGAATTTCTTTGGTGAGTAGAATCCCTGAACAGGGCACAACTCCGTGTATGCCAAAGACTCGGCGCCCGCTGGGTTCTCTGTTACGACATCGCGGTGCATTTGGTGGATGCGCTGTGACATGTGAGTATTTGTCCCCGAAAAAGAGGCCGCCTTCACTCGCGCCGAGTCGAGGAGCCGAAAGTCTGGGTTGAAAGCTTACCATCTTCTCAAGCTGGAAGATCTCCTTGCCCTTGGGCGTGAGATTGACGTCCACAACAGCCACCTCCCAGCCGAGATCGCTCCTCTTGACCTCGACACCTAGTGACCGTCCGACGATCTGGTGGCCAAAGCATACTCCAATGACTCTCACCCGCCCGCTGTCGATGCACTTTTTGGTGAACTCGACCAACTTCAAGATCCATGGGTCGTTATCGAATGAGTTGTGCTTGCTTCCGGAAATGAGGATGGCGTCGATAGAGTCTAGATCTGGGTAGACAGCATCATCGCCAACGGCGTGGTATACTGAGAGGTCGACGATGCTGTCGAGCGGCGCAGGCGGTTCGTTGGCCAAGGCGGCGGTGCGCAGGAGTGCCGTGAAGACACCGCCATATCCGCCGTATTCGGCGTTGGTCTGCGGCTGCGGTGTATCGGCCTCGAGGATGGCTAGGCGGATGCGGGGTGGTTGAGAGCCCATGTTGGTCAAGTTTGATCGAAAGAGTATATGTACAAGATAAGGATGAAGATGTTGTGAGAATGTAAATCAAGTTGTTGTAGCAGAGTGAGAACTGTGTTGTGAATAAAGACGGAAATATAATGAAGCCGGGGGACAAAGCAGAAGATGAAGGAATCGTGAGAACAAAGCACGGAAGCAAGTGACAGGTGGTGGCTGCTCAGATGCCGGCGCCCCGACCGCGGTCCCGCGGCGATGGTGGGGTTCTCGCGGGTCGCGGTTGAGTCAAGTGAAAGGCGTGGCCACCCCCCAGCGTACCTTCGTACCTGAGTGCCCCGCGATCCGATAGCGGGGGATTCTCAGCGATAAGGGACCGCGCTATGGATAAGATAGCGATAAGACATAAGGTACACCGTTGAAATCCACTAAAGTCAATTGGACCGCCAGTCCCCCCCAGATTTGCCTTACCTTACCTGAAGGGGACCTAAAGCTGTGCAACGTTCCGACGTCATCCCCACCACCATCACCAACAGCTCCGAGCTGCGAGGACCGCGCCTCTTGATACTCTCCGCGGCAACCTGCATATGCATTTCCCCATGCGTTAATACTACCAACGCTCGAAGCCTTGTTTCAATAAACCTACCTAATTCCTCTGTTTCAATGCCTCCAAGGGTCTCCCTCGGCGCTTTCCTCGCCAACGCGAGATCAGCCCTGACGGCTCCGCAACGGGCCAGTCCCTTGACGTTGGTCGTCGGCAACGAATCTGCAGGTACGAGACACCCAAGGCTTGGCATTCCTCTATTCGTATGTAAACAAACTGATTATTTGATTATTCGCACCCAATAATTAGACCTCGACTCTCTCTGCTCTGCCGTCGTATACGCCTACCTTCGCAGCCACGCTGCGCCTCACACGCTCCACATCCCCATCTCGAATCTGCCCCGCGATGACCTCAAACTCCGTCCCGAGATGACGGCTGCCCTGGCGCATGCCAAGCTTAAGCCGAGCGACTTACTCACTCTCGACGAGCTACCGCAAGACCTCGCCGCGAAGGATTCCAGGTGGGTTCTCATTGATCACAATGCCCTAACGGGAGACCTCGCCAAGAAGTACAGCAGCAGTGTCGTCGGCTGCGTAGACCATCACGCCGATGATCACAAGGTTCCTCAAGACACGGGCGACGAGCCCCGCGTCGTTGAGAAGTGCGGAAGCTGCGCGAGCTTGGTGGTGGAATACTGCCGTTCAGCATGGGAGGACCTCACAAAATCAGAGACCGGAGCGAGCGACGTGGACGAGCACCTCGCCAGGCTATCGCTCGCAGCAATTCTGATTGATACCACAAACCTCAAGTCCAAGGATAAGACGACCGAAAAGGACACCAGCGCAGTCTCCTTTCTTGAAAAGTTTACGAGCGGACGCGACGCCTTCTTTGACGAGATATCCGCCGTTAAGGAAGACATATCCTCGCTGGGATTCCGCGACGTATTCCGGAAGGATTACAAGCAGTGGGAGGATCTAGGCGAAGGCTTCGAAGCAAGCAGCCGCCACCAGGTCATGGGCGTGTCGGCCATTGTCCAAAACCTGGACTACCTACTCGACAAGGCTGGCGGCGATGATACTGTCCTGCTGGGCGAGTTCAAGCAGTGGGCTGAGGGGAAGAAGATGGATGTTGGAGTTATCATGACAACTTCGCATCCCGGCGGGAAGTTTCAGAGAGAGCTTCTCTTGTGGGCTTTTAATGAGAATGCTGTTGACTACTGCAAGAAATTCTACCAAGCATACAAGGATGACTTGGGGTTGGAGAGCTGGGGCGAGGGCAGACTCGATCACGTTGGTGAAGGAGAGTGGAGGATGGCCTGGCACCAGAAGAGTCTGTCCAGCTCTCGCAAGCAGGTTGCGCCCATGCTCCGGCAGACAATCAAGGGCGGTACCAAGCTTTGAGATGAAGGAGATACGTCAAGTGGTGCGGTACTCAAACATGAGGCATGGAGTTATCATTCGGTGGACTGCATTAGCTTGCGATACGTTACGCTGGAATGCAGACTGGGAATTCTCAAATAACGCAAACGGAGACATTGGCCAGTAGTGAATGGCCAGCAGCGAAGTGTCTGTAGACAATGGCACTATCCATTTGGAGACTTTTTCCCTTTAATTGAAACAAAGCATACTCGCACATGTTGGGGCTCCGAGGGAGACAGTGGCGGAGTCAACCAGCAGTGAAACTCACATTTGCTGCTTCATAGCTCAGTATTAAAATCGAAACAGTTGATATATTATCGCAATCACTGCCTTTTCCAGAACACGAAGCTCATTGTGTGGGTCTAAAAACAGACCAGTGACCATCATCATATTATGGATTATCTTGTTTGGTCTGGAACCGCTACATCATCATCATTCATCATCTCGAATTCCACTGACTTTTGTCATATCCTTGGTATATTCAAAAGTACCCCATCTTATCCCAGCCCGTGCTGCATTTAAGCCAGCTGAGCAACGATGGCATCCAGCCACTTTGCGAGTCTGTACAACGTCAGTTTCTCAACGTCGCAAAAAGACTCAAATCAGGAGCTTACCTGTAACCCTGCTTGGCGACTTGCATGCTAACAGTAGGCTGCGCGTTAGTCGTGTACGCGCCGCTGATATCCTTGCCCTCCACAGCCTCACGACCATCCGGCAAAACGATAGAGCACACAAACTTGTTGCTCTCCGTCGCCCACGCGAGCGCCTGCGACTCGGGGTCCTCGAGACTCAGACCGCCAATCCAGCACTTTGACGCCGTCTTGAAGTCGCCAGAGCTAATCTCGGTGCTGAGCTTGGAGGCCCACGACTTGGCGACGGCCAGCACGCTGCTTCCCGTGCCCGTGATGGACTGCGGGATGTTGGTGTCCCACGCGGCGTGCAGGTTCGTGCTGGACCCGTTGAACTCGACGGCGATGCCGTTGCCGCCGAGCTCGAGGTTCTCGCAGTGGAGGGGCTGGCCGATGTCGCCGGTGAAGTGAATCACCATCTTGGCGGCGATCTGGCGCTGCTCGAGGGACAGGGCGGGCTGCTGGAGCAGGCGGTTGGTGTAGTTTGCGTGGGCGGAGACGATGCAGCCCGTGGGGCCGCAGTCGCGGTCGAGGTCGATGCCGCACGAGTGCGGGGGGTCGTCGAGGGCGTCGATGTAGTGGAAGGTGGAGGTGAAGGCGCCTTCGGTGGTGTAGCGGTACGAGTCGGCCCAGCTGGCGACGTTGGCGAGGTAGTCGTCCGTGGTGTCGGCCAGGAGCTGCTGGAAGTAGGTCTTTGTCTCGGGGGCGACGAAGTTTGTGGCAATGTAGGCGATTGTCGCATGGCCCATGGAGCCCCAGGCGAGGGCGGCCTTGGGGAGGGCGGCGGCTGCCAGGAGGGTGAGGGGGTTGAGGCGAGCCATGGCTTTTTTTTTTTTTTTGGCAATGGGATTGCTACCTTGTGACAAGAGGGAGGAAACGAGGAGAGGAGGAGGAGGAGGAGGGCAAGGAGGATGGATATTGAAGGGCGGGAGATGTGTCCTTGGCGAGCGGGAAGAGAGGAGAAGAATGTCACGGTGAGGGAGCGGTGCGGGTTATATGTAGCATTCTGGTGACCCGAGATCCCTTCCGGCCCACGTGTGGCCAAGACCGGCGCGCATTAGTCCACTTCCATGATCGATGTATGTTCCATGGAGGCGGTAAAGGAAGTGGGATAGGCTGTGTTGGCACGGCAAGACGGGCGAGGCGCGGGAAGCAGGCCTTGGAGGCTGGGTTGGCGATGCAGCATTTCGCAGACCAGGACCCCATCGGGTGTTGGTCCTCCTGCTTGTTCGGGCATCGCGAGCTTCACATAAGTACCGGGCTAAGGTCAACCTGGAGCGTCGATCTAGACTGCGGAGGGCGTTTTCTAGACGCTCATTGGTCGACAAGATCCGAGTTGCACAGCTTTGCAATCAGACATTACCATGCTATGCCGATATCCGGGCGCGAAAGAGAAAGAGAAAGCAAGAGTCAGAGAGTGGGAAATATCTGCGTGTGATGGACCAGGGGTCGGGATACAATCTGCATGTTCAGACGAACACATGTTGACCGACGAATGCCATCTACTCA